TATTTATATATAAGTATATATAAATATATATCAGCTGCATAATATTTATTACGTATATCTGGAGCAGCTGCTGCTGCTCCTACAGCTACTGCTGGCAAATAAATCAATATCGCATTAACTGCTTAGTCCGCCAAAACTTTTTGCCTAAATATCCCAAAGCACATAAATAACGAAATGTCAAAAAGTTTTTGTCCAACATTTCTTTAGCCAAATTAAACTGCCTTCACAGTCAACTGCAAATGTTGCGGCCATATTCTACATTGGACAAACGAAATTCATTTCCAGCAGTTTGATGTTGCTGCTCCCAAAAATTTGGTAAATTCCCTTTTGACCCCAAATGAAAAATTAATTAACAGGTTGACGTGTCGGTTAAACTGATTTGCTGTGGCCGGTTATTGATTATTTAACGGTTATGTGATTTTCTTTTAATATGTAAATAACAGTCATTAATTGACATTGTATTTAGCAAAAGAAATGTGTTCAATCAATTTAGGGCTTATTATTACCTATTGAAATCAAAATAAAATTCACAAATTAAAAAAAAAAATACTGCACATCTGTAGTAGAACAGAGAGAGATACATAAATACATACATATGTATGTTCAATTGAGTAATTTATCATTGTGGACAAAAATATACTGCACATCTCTACAAAATATACTGCACATCTCTAATAGAACTTATTCGCTCATATACTTACACACATATACATTCATATATACACACATACATAGATATTAATATTCAAAGTCAGCTAATCGGCAATTCTTTTTCTCCTATTCCATAAAATGTGAACACCCTACTGTCATCTCGCTCGCACACACACAAATCGTGTCAATTTTGCATTTGGCGGCAATAGACGACTAACTCTAGTAATAACTGTAAATAATTTATGCAAGAAAATTCTTGTATGCAAATATTTTGCTAACTTCGGATTTAAATTAATCTTTTGAAATTATATTAGGTGCTTTATAAATTTAAACAAGCTACTAGCGTAAATATTTTAGCATAGTTTTTGGAACACTTACACCATATACAATATATTTTTGTATTTTTTTTTTTGCCGTGATTTTGTTGCACTTTTTCTTTGCATAAATAATAATGCACAATTTTAGGATTATTTGATATTATATACATATTATATTTAACCTTAGGTATCATATTTCACTATTGCAATTTTGCACTAAGCACAGAGAATTAGCATTTTAGATATCAACACAAAAAAAAAAACAAAAAAAATGTACACACATGCGCGCAATCAATGCTAGTAACGATCGAGTGGGCATCCGCACACGAACTAATTTCCTAATTGAGCACGAGCCTAAACTAAGCCGACAATTCTCTCTCCCCACTACCAATACATGCTCAGCCTGCGCTCAGTTTGAGAGATCAAAAGCTATGCAACCAATAGCGTTAACGCAGTGGATACTTTCATTCCACTAGAGTCCACAATGGCGGCACTCACTCTCTCTCTCTCTCTCTCTCTTTTTGGTTGTAGGGCCAGCCTAAAGTACTTACACAAGAGTAAGAAGCGCTATAAATAGAAACATCTTCATAACACGCTCTTTAAATCCACAATACCAAACCTCTTCATATGTCTTCTGTTTAGAGTCTCCAAATATTTGTGAGAGTATGAGCCTAAGCTAAGATCATTTATATGTAAGTAAAACGAAGCTAGAATGCTTGCAGCAGCAGAGAGTGCTCCCATTGGTCACTTAAAGCTCGACTGCAACGACCCCGACCTCGACACCGAACACAATATTGGAGAGCGACTTAGTGTTTGAGTAAGTGTTGCCCTATATAAAGAGCAGCAGCTGCAGCATTTCTTCAGTCGCCCAGGTCTTGTGGTAGGTGTCAGTTGTGCAGTGCAGTAAAGTGAAGTGAAAGTGTGTGATCGTTTAAGACTTGGGGGGAAATTTTTCGAGGAAATAATTAGAGGAAACAGAGGAAATTCTTGGGAGAAATACTCAACGCTGCTGGCAGCACCGCAGCTCAGTGGATAATTGCATTCCATTAGAATCCACAATTGCCGCTCTCTCTCTCTCTCTCTCTCTCTCTCTCTCTCTCTCTCTCTCTCTCTCTCTCTCTCTCTTCCTCTTCCTTTCTCTCTCTGGTAGCAGCGCCAGCCAAAACTACTAACGCATAAGACTGTCTACTCCTCTCTCATAGTCCACAGATTTGCTTACCTAATATTTTTCAGTGTATTAATTTCCTTTTATTCAGCTGAAGAATCAATTCAATAAACGGAAGCTGCGCACTTCAGTTTCGATTAGTTGCGTATCAAAACTTTTGCTTTGATGCATTTGCATTAATTAGAACAACAACAAATTCCATTAAATAAAGCACGAGAGAGTATTTAGTGTAATTTCCTGTTCGCTGATTAATGAAATGCATTCAACGTGCGGCGCTAAATAAACTTTTAATTAGAATGGAAAATGATTAATTAGCTAAAACTGCAGCAACTATTTGCCTAAGAAGAAATTGTTGTGCTGCAAAATTTAAATTAACGAAACTAATTTAGTAATTAAAGCATACTTTTAATTCATCAATTTCATATCGCATTCAGTTAGCTGTTTCATTCTTTCTGGCCACATATTTAAGCCAAAATTTATCCTTGGGCGCCATCTGGAATCCCATGATGTTGTTCATCATATCTAAAGTCGTTTTTTTACACGGCAACAATTCGAACTTGAGCAGCTGATGATATATGATTGATTTGACCTCCATTAGAGCCATGCGATTGCCTGAAAAAAATGTAACATATATATATTTTTTTTAATTATTAAATTACATTTTAATTTCTGGTTTTATACGCTCCACTCACCTATGCAACTGCGCGGCCCGACACCAAATGGCATATATGTAAATGGCTTAATATCTTCTTTATTTTGCTCGGCAAAACGTTCCGGTCGAAACTCTTTGGGCTCGGGAAAATACTCTGGATCGTAGTGCAAGCCCACAATGGGTATAAATATACGGTCACCCTTTTTCAGTGAGACGACAATCTCATTGTTCTCATCACGTAAATCGATATCTGCGTTGCAAGCACGATCTGTTTGTGGTGCAGGCGGCCATTTGCGCAATGCTTCCGATACGACCATATCCATATACTTCATATGCATTAGACTATCGTAATCGAGGGGTTTTCCCTGCAGCTGTTGCTCCACATCCAAAATCTCTTCATAGAGCTGCTGTTGCACCGTCGGATTCATGCACAGCTCATAGGTGACGAAGCACAGGCAGGTGGACACCGTCTCAAAGCCCGCAAAGAAGAAGAGCAAACATTGGGCCAACAAATCATCATCTGTGAATTTTTTATTCGACTCCTCCGACTCATTAACCTTGCGCTGTGCTTCCATTAGCAAGTGTATCATATCGGGTCTTATTATAGAATTCTTTTCACGAAATTTAATGGCATCAAATACCAGAGATCTAAAGTAATTGATCATCTTTTCGTCTAGAATACTTAAGCCTAGGGACTAATAGAGAAAAATAATGTATTAATTAGTTTACGATAAGTCAAAGTACTCTAGACAAGGCTGCTCGACTAGCAGATACCCTGTGCCTCTTGAAAAGCTGATATAATCATTCTTTGCTTTTTTATATGGAAATGGAATGAGATCGAGAATAAATATATAAAATTGTACTGCGTAGGGTATTCACAAATATACGCTTAAAATTTCAAGTTCTTGGCTTTTGCGTTTTACGAGATCTCTGCATTCATATGGACAGACTCAACTCAGCTCATCCTGTCGTCCTGATCAAGATTATATAAATATTTTAGGGGCACAGCCGCGCCCCCTTCTGTCTGTTCCCGAAACCAATATACCCCGATTTCCCATTTCCAATCGAGTTAGGGTACAAACAATATTATTACTCAATTAATACCTTCATCAATTAATACCTTCATCAACTTGGGCATAAAAGTAAACAGCAACGCCTTCAGCATAGTAGCTGCGGTAATTGTGGTAACACTTTGTCCGAGCTGAAAGAATTTGTTCTTCTGCTCCTCGAACGAGTTGACCTTGATGCCAAAGGCAGCGGAGGCGATGACATCGTTGGTGAAGCGTGTGAAATAATCCTTCATCTCCAGCTCGATGCCATTGCCATTGGCGCTCTTCAGTTGATCTTCAATATAGGCCACGCCCACCTCACTGCAGGCATTAATCAGATCGTACATCGCACGCATTTTGATGCCCGTGAATGTGGGCGTTAATATATTACGCATATCGCGCCATTCGCGATCTTTCAACTGCACCAGACTCTTCGACAGCAGCGTCTGAAACTGCTCGGATCCCGAATGATTGACGAAATGATCGAACTGCTTAACGCCGACACTCTTGATCAGTTCCAGATCGCGCAACACAAATATCGGATCACGTAGAAAGTAAGCGCCATAGACTTTGGAGTCTTTGAATTGTTGATACTGTTCGATTTGCCTGACCAAATGTGGAGATAGGCCGAATAGTTCCTTGAAGCGCATATTACCCAGCAGCGGAGTGGGCTTCTCGTGGGGTATGCCCCGCTGCTCGAACGTCTGGTACTTGGCCACCGACCATTTGTAGAGTAATGCGCACAATACGATCCCGAGTGTGCAGATAATCAAAAACATTTTACTTTTATATCAGCTCAACTGTGCGCGGCGAGCTCTCGGCTGTAACTGAATCGGTCAATAACAATAATAAAGCTCTAATATGACCTCATATCTGCCTCTCGCACCAGCTGCCGCTCCCACTCGCGCTACCTTTCGTTCTCCCTAATTTATATATAGCATTTTCAATGTCAGCGCTCTCGCTCTCTCTATCTCTCACTCTCTCGAGCCCTCACGCTCTCTTGTTTACTTGACTGTTCACGCCTTCTTGTTATTTTTTTAGCATTCTAAATACTCTTATCAATAGAGCTTTATGTGTGAGTTCAACTGACTTGACGATAGCTGAATAATATCTTAGAAATGTTTTATATTTATATATTTACATTTTTTTATT